CAGATGAGATGGATTGACACAGTTACTGTGGCAATGTGATTATGTGTATCAGAGTCAGTGAGACTGGCTCAATATAGGGTCACTATGAGTTCTGGATGACTTGATTGCACATAACAACAAAAAGGCAGTTCCCATGGTGTTAGAGTCATCTATGATCCAGTTTCAACTTGGTGATAAGATAACAACATTGACAATAGAGAAAACTCCGGTGGCCTAGTGGTAAGGAACTGTGCTGCCAATTAGAAGGTTGTAGTTTGAATCCACCAGCAGCTCCAGAAGAGAAAGAGGAGCCATCTCTTCCTGTGAGGTTAAACTGCCTCTAAAAACCTGCTGGAGGGTGAACTATGAGTTGAATCCAAACTCAACAATACACAACAACAGCAACATTGTCTGTTGGAGGGAGATCTAGAAACCACAGTTCACAGGGGGAATTACACTCCTAACTTAAAGTCCATGCCTCTCTGCCAATTCAAATCCACCACTGACTCTGAAGAAGAAACACTGAAAATCTCCTCCCATGTGATTATACAGGCTTGGAAAAATCAGTAGAGATTCAGTTACTAGTTGGTTATGACTTTTTGACAATGAATTAAAGGTTTGAAGTTTTGTATGTTGCTTTCCCCCCTTTCTCTATCTCTCTTGTTGCTTTAATTTTTAAAATTGGCTATACAGGCTAAAGAATTGAAAACCAGATGCTTTTAATTGTAGAATTGTATTCTTGGCCACTTTGTAATTATACTTGTCAAAATTTCATTTTCATTATAGGTTAATTCAATATAAATATTTTTATTTTCAAAAAATACATTTTCAAGAATTAGGTGCTCTTGAGTCCACTATGACTTGTAGCAACCCTCTGAGCAATATATTAGAACATTGCTCTGTCCTGCACAATTGTCACAATCTCCACTTTGATAAAGCTTAATTGGTGCAGTCCCTGTGCTACTAAATGTTACAAACATCTTGGGTGATCTCATTATCTTGAACTTACCTGGCATGCATCTACTCCACCATTAGGAACTCCAGCACACACCATTCCAGGCAAAATAGCTCCATTATACTTATCTGGTGCATTACATACACTATTCCTTATTATTCTAACCCTTGCTTGCTCCAAATCTGTAACTGTGTTACCTGTTAAATATAAAATCAGAGAGAAAACAGAGTTTAAGATAGGAAAATTAATTATTGTGCTTATGTGAAACCTATACTTGAACAAGGAGGCAGTTGTCAGAACAGAGCAGAGACACTGTATGGTTCAAAATCGGGAAGGGTGCACACCAGAAATGTATTCTGTCTCCATACCTTTTCAACCTATATGCAGAACAGATTATCCAGGAGGCTGGGCTGTATGAGGAGGAATGTGGCATCAGGATTGGAGGAAGATTCATTAACAACCTGTGTTGCACAGAGGACCCAACCCTGCTTGCTGAAACTCAGGAGGACCTGAAGTGCTTGCTGCAGAAGGTCAAGAAAGGACTGCAGCCTTCAAAATGGATTGAAGCTCAATATCAAGAAAACAAAAATTCTCACCACTTGGCCAATTGGCGGCATCAGTATGGATGGTGAAGAGATGGAGATTGTTAACAGTTTTAGTTTGCTTAGCTCCACAATCAACACTCTTGGTACCAGCAGCCAGGAAATCAAGAGATGAATTGCATTGGGAAAGTCATCTGTCAGGAACCTCTCCAGAGTACTGAAGAGTAACAACATAAGTCTGGAGACTATGTTGTTCCTGGTCCAGGCCATAGTCCTTGCAATTGCTTGCTATGTGTCAAAGAGCTAAACAGTGACTAGGGATGATAGAGAGAGAATTTATATCATTGAGCGGTGGTGCTGGAGAAAAGTGTTGAATATACCATGCACTGCTAGGAGAACAGTTTCACCCTGGAGAAGGTGAAACGAGGCTGCTCCTTAGATGCAAGGATTCTAAAATTTTGTCTGATATACTTGGACATGTTACAAAGAGGCACCAGTCTTTGGAAAGGGACATCATGCTTGGGAGATTACTGCCTCTAAAAACATGATGGAGGGTCAGCTATGAGTTGGTTCCTACTTGATGGTAAACAACACCAACAATCTTAAAATGAATAATGTATACTGTATAAAAACAGATAAGGGAGAAAACTGTTTAAAAGGGATATGTGATTAAGTACTATTGTCATGACTGGAGTCCGGAACGAAGGCTGTATAGTGGAGTGGACCTGGGGGCAGAGATAGTATAACAATGAAAGAATTTTTCTTTTACTTTTCAAAGAGAAGAGTGAACTGATGGGGGGAGGAGCGAGCAGGGAGAAAAGTGCAACAATGAATGAATGGAAATCCAAGTCTGTAAATTTTCATTAAAATTAATAATAATAATAATAATAATAATAAAAAGCAAAAAAGAACCAATTATTGTTCCATTGATTTGACTGTGACTTATAGTGACTGTATGTATCTTTGTACTATTAATAGATTAATTTTAAATTAGAAAATTTCATATTGACTATCCTTTAATCTAGTAGCAAAATAGAAAACAGTCTACTTTTAGGCTGGATTTGTTTGTTTGTTTTTCAAAATTGGCATGCAATTGTTTTCCACAGCCAACACATTGCCATCATATGACCACCCCCCCCTCCCAGTGCTAATTCCTGAAAGGGTTCAATGTCAACCAAGTATTTTTGGCAGAGTGGTCTGTATATTCCTTTCATCTGCTTTTTCTTCTTCCTGCATGATTCAAGATTTTTCCCATAAAATCCTTCAACAGAACCTGAGGCTTGAATTTGTATTTTTGTTCTTTAAACTTAAGACATGGTACATATGTTCTTCCTTCTTGGTTTTCTAACTCCAACTCTTTGCACATTTTGTTGTACTACTTTGCTTTGCCTTCTCAAGATGTTCTTTGAAATCTTCTGTTCAGTTTTCTTATATTAGCATTTCTTCCCTATGTTGTGATTTTATTACATTCTAGTGCAAGTTCCTAATGATTGCTGTACAGAGGTAACTTGTGGTTGCTGTGACACTGAGCACTGTGATACTGATGTCCCAAATGTGATAATGGTTACCCATGGTGGACAGTGTTTGGTGGAGTTTCCCTATTAAATAAAACAAGCCTGGAAGCAGGAGTGGCATCCACTTCTGAAATGGCTTGCCTCTGGAAACTCTGTGAAAAGTGCTCAGGCTTTTTGTTCATAAGGACACTATGAATCATTTACAACTTGATGGCACCTAACAACAATAGCAATGATGACATAGAGAGAGCTACGTTGGCCTAGTGTACAGAAAGTTATTTTACCAAGCCCAAGGTGGGTGATTTTAATTTGTGGCTCCCAGGCCTGGTTCAAATTGTTTTTCTGTCAAACATTCTAGGTTGTATAGCTCTGGTCTGTGCACTGCTGTACAGATGTAATTCGTGGTTTCTGTAATGATAAACACTGTGACACTGATGTGCCAAATGTGATAATGGCTACCCATGGCAGACAGTGTTTGGTGGAGCTTCCCAATTAAAACAAGCCTGGCAGCAGGAGTGGCATTCACTTCCAAAATGGCTTGCCTCAGGAAACTCTATGAACAGTGCTCAGGCTTTTTGTTCATAGGGTCGTTATGAGTTGTCTACAACTCGACGGCACCTAACAACAACAACAACAATGATGCAAATTCCAGAGTCTCTTCGGATACCCATTTTGGTCTCTTTCCCCCCTTCCTGTTTCTATAATAACCATACTTAATTCAGTCAATAAAGAAACATAAGAAATATTTATGTACACATGGGATTCCTTTGCTTAGTTGGTTTCGGGTGCTTTTGAGGTAAGGGAAACACATTGCAACCTATGGATAACAAAAGAACTTTGCCTAGTCCTACGTCATTTTCACAAGTTCCTGTGTTCATTGCTTTGGCTATTGGGTCAATTTGTATTATTGTATTAGATGCAGGAGTTAATTCATTCCAGAATATGTTATTATTTTAAATACCCTTAATGGATATATACAAATGCTTTTTAAAATATAGGATTCATAAAGACAAAAACTGCATAAGACTATTATTGTAAAAATACAAGGATAACTAGTAAAACATACAGGGACTCAAGGTGGGGGAGTGAAGCGGTGAGGATGGGTAGGGGTGAAACCACAGGGCTACACAGTTTGATCAGTAGAGGAAGGGGGAGAAGCAAATGGGAAGGATCCAGGTGGGCAAAAAAATGGGATATAATGCCCCAGCAATTCCACTACTGGGAATTTACCCTAAAGAAACCATAACCACCACCCAAGCAGATATATGCACACCCATGTTTATTGTGGCTTTGTTCACAATAGCAAGGAGTTGGAAACAACTCAAGTGCCCATCAACAAACGAATGGGTAGAGATGGTCTGGTATATTCACTCAATGGAATATTACGCTGCAAAAAAACAAAGAACTCATGAAATATTATTCAAAATGGGTGACCCTGGAGGACAATATGTTGTTGTTGTTGTTGTTGTTATGTGCCGTCGAGTCGCCTGCGACTCATAGCGACCCTATGTACAACAGCCCTAAACTCTGCTCTGTCCTGTGCCAATCGCACTGTTTCTGACACTCCCATCCCAATTATCCCAGTCACTGAATCAATCCACCTCATAGAGGGCCTTCCTCTCCTGCACCGTCCCTCCACCCTCCCAAGCATGATGTCCCTCTCTAAGGACCGGTCTCTCCTCACTACATGTCCAAAGTAAGTTAGGGCGAGCTCTGGTGGCCTACTGGCAAGAAGCTGCACTGCAATCCCAAAGTAAGTTAGACGGAGCCTCAGAATCCTTGCCTCCAAGGAGCCACCCAGTTTAACCCTCTCCAGGACAAATCTATTTGTTTTCCTAGCAGTCCATGGTATTCTCAATACTCTTCTCCAGCACCACAGCTCAAAGGCATCAGTTCTCCTTCTAGCCTCCTTGGTCATTGTCCAACTCTCTAATGCATAACAGGTGATTGCGAAGACCATGGCCTGTATCAGACGCACCTTAGTCTCCAGAGCACAGGGAGGACAATATACTGAGTGAAATGTCTGAGTCACAAAAAGACAAATACTGCATAATGCCACTGTTATAAAAGAATACTTACATAGGGTTTGGGAGCAGACTGAGAAAGAGGGTATAAATAATGTATACTGCATTGAAACAGATGAGGGAGAGAACTAAAAAAATGGATATATGATTAGGTATTATTGTCATGACAGGAGTCAGAATGAAGGCTGCATAGTGAAGTGGTCTTGGGGGGAGTGTTTGTATAACAATGAAAGAATTTTTCTTTTACTTTTAAAAGAGAAGAACAAATTGGGGGAAGGGTGGGCAGGGAGAAAAGTGCAACAATGGACGAATGGAAATCTGTAAACTTTCATTAAAAAATGCGTGAGTATGAGTCTATTAAATACAATGTGAATGAGAAATTGTGTGAAACACAATATATATAAACTTTGTAAGCAAATAAATTAAAAAGATAATGTAAAATAGAATGTTTATGAATGATTGTATGAAACACCATATAAACGAAAGATTGTATAAAACACAATGTACATGAATGAAACATAAAGGAATTTTTATATTAAAACATAAAAGTGTTTTAAAAACATTATAGAATTCACATTTTTCTCATTTGCAACTTTGATTATTGATTAATATCTTAAAATAGTCTACTTTTTAAATGATGATTTTAGTGAATTACAGAAAAGATGAGTTTTAATTTACTCATTGATACACATCTTCCTCCATCTCTCTCCCCAAATTCACTTTGTAGTGCATGTATTGTTCCAGATTGTTAATTGCCACATATTTAATGTCTAATCATCCAATACTTTAAGATAGTATTTTCCTTAACTTATTCCATTGTTGTGTTCATTATTTATCCTTTCTTTTCCTGCTCTTCTCTTTCAGCCTATGCTGTGTCCATAGTATTTTTATAAAAATGATCCTATGCAAAAGAGATGGAGGCAGCCTAAGTACCTGACCAAGGATGAATTAATAAAAAAACCCAAAACTATTGTACAGTCATACAATGAAATACTACGTAGCACTGAAAACCAATGTACTCTTAAAATACTACACATTATGGATTAGTGTGGAAGACATTATGATGAGTGAAATATATCAGTCACAAAATAAATATTTCTTTATACTTCTTAGATTGTGCTTGTGAAATCCACATGTTTTCCAGAGGCATTGCTTTGCTTTACTAAGGAACTCAGGGCTTTATAGAGTTTAGGATGAGCAGAATACAGGTGTTCCCTAATTAAAACTATGTTTTAAAAAATACCATGTTTTAGCTTTTATTCTTGTTCCTTCCCCAACCCCTCCCCACTGCCCCGAGATACTTACCACCGTATCTTCGCGATCCCCATCCTGTTACATAAGCAATGGAACCAGGCACAATATTATGGGTGGGTGCTGGAAGACACACCCTATGGATGTTTTTGGTGAAGGTAACTTCTCTGTTAAGTTGTACAAGTGCAATATCATTTTCATGAGTTACAGGATTATAATTGCTGTGGACTATAATATTTCTTACTCTTATTCTCAGTTTAGGAATTTTTGTAGAAATACCAAATGTGGCAGTCCATGTGTAAGGATCAGGGTATCTAAAAAAAAAGGAAAAATGTTATTTTTAGCAAGAATTTTTGAGCATTTAAAATATTTTAATTTCTTGTCAACCCAATGATTTTGTTGATGATAATAATAATAATAATAGTTTTACATTATTTTCTCCAAATTCATATTTTTTTTCCTTTCTGTTCTTTTAGCCACAACTTTCATTTAAGAAATAGTGGTGATAGGAGCCTCCTGTATAAAGCAGTTGCATTTTGGAAGACAGGTTGTTTGGATTTAATTGAAAGTCAGGTATAAACTGATTGGTCACTTTTTATTTTGTTAACAATCAAGTGTAAACTGAATTGTGTTTGTTGATAGCCTTTGAGTCGAGTACTACTCCTTAGTGACCCTGTGAACAAAAGGTCTGAAGCCTCTCTACAACTATCAACATTTATAGAAGTTTATATAGTTTCCAGAGGCATGTTATTTTGGAAGTGGATGGCACTTCCCTTCCAAACTTTTCATAGTATGTTATTGTTATGTGCCATTGAGTTGACTGCAATGTATAGAGACCCTATGGACAGCAGCTCTGAACTCTTTCCTGTCCTGAGCCAGTCTTACTAATTCCAACACACCAACTCCCATTGCCCCAGTTACTGTATCAATCCATGTAATCCTAAGTCTCCCTCTTTTGGTCGTCCACCCTTCTGAGCATGATGTCCTTCTCCAAGGACCGATCTCTCCTGGTCACACGCCCAAAGTAAGTGTGGCAGAGAGAGCTTAAAAATCCTAGCCTCCAAGGAGAGACTTGGTTTCACCCTCTCCAGACTTATTTGTTTTCTTGGCAGTCCATGGTGTGTTCAAGACTCTTCTCCAGCAGCACAACCCGAAGGTGTCTATTCCTCTTGTCATCCTTAGTCATTGTCCAACTCTCTGAAGCATAACAAGTAATTGAGAAGACCATGGCCTGCATTAGGTGCACCTAGGTGCATCTAGACTGCATTAGGTGTATCTAGACTGACATCACTGTTCTTCAGCACTTCGGAGAGGTCCATGACAGAAGATTTTCCCAAAACAATTTGTCTTTTGATTTCCTGACTGCTGTTGTTAAGAGTGTTGATTGTGGGTCTGAGCAAGCTGCAATTGCTAACAACCTCAATCTCGCCTACATCTAATATGGTGCTCCCAATTGGCCCAGTGGTAATAATCTTTGTCTTCTTGATGTTGAGCTTCAATCCATATTGAAGACTACAATCTTTGACCTTTTGCAGCAGCTCCTTCAGGTCTTCCTCAGTTTCAGCAAGCAAGGTTGTGTCATCTGCATATCGTAGGTTGTTAATGAGTCTTCCTCCAAGACACACAATCTTGGTATCACACTCCTCCTCATAAAGCCCTGCCCCAGAAAGATCTGTTAATGCATACAGATTGAAAAGATAGAGGGACAGGATGCATCCCTGACACAGTCTTTTCCTGATTTTAAACCTTGAAGTGTTCTTGCTCTGTCCTAAGGACTGTTTTTTCGTCCAAGTGTAGTTTTTGTATAAGCATGATCAAGTGTTTGGGATTCCCATTTTCCTCAAGGTTAGCCACAATTTATCGTGATCCACACAGTCGCATGCCTTTGCATAGTCAGAGAAACACAGACATTCTTCTGGTATTCTCTGATTTCTGCCAAGATCCATCTGACATTGGCAATAATGTCCCAATGTTATGACCTCTTCTAAACCCAGCCTGTATTTCTGGTAGTTCTCTATCAATGTACTGTTCAAGTCTTTTCTTGATAATCTCCAGCAGGATTTTGCTAGTGTGTGATATTAGTGATATTATTTGATAATTTCTGATCTTCGTTGGGCCACCTTTTTATTGAATGGGAACAAATAAGAGTTAATGGTGATCAAGGAGGAAGTGCAGGCTGCTCTGAATGACTTGGCTAAAAATAAAGCACCAGGAATTGATGAAATATCAATTGACATATTTCAGCAAACAGATGCTGCCCTGCATGTGCTCACTAGGTTGTGCCAAGAAATCTGCAGGACAACTATTTGGCCAACTGGAAGAGCAAATTGAAATAGTTAGCAATCAAGTATAAGCTGATTGATCATTTGATTTAGTTAACAATCAGCTAAGGGCTGGAAGCCTCTTGTTTAAATCAATCAGGTTTTGGTGGGTGGGCCTTTGTATTTAAAAATCAGTTGGTATTGTATTTGGGAAGAACATTGTTCTCAGTGGTAAAGGACTTATCTGTCATTTTTCTGTACTAAAATACTTGGGGTTGCTGTGATACTGAAAGCCGTATCACTCACTGGTGTGTCATATACCAAAAGGGCTACCCATGACAGATAGGGTTTGGTGGAGCTCCCAGATCAAGACAGACTATGAAGCAGGATTGACATCTACTTCTTAAACAAAAGACCTCTGAAAACCCTATGAACACTAGAGAAATGAGGATAGTTATAGTAGTATAGTGATAGAAACCAAATTGGAAGTCAGTTGAGATTAGGGAAAACTATAACAAACATTGTTTAATAACTGGACATGGAATGCACATAGTTTGAATGTTGAAAAACTGAAAATTGTTAAAAATGAAATTAAGAACATGATCATCAACATAATGAGTATTAATAAGATGATGTGGACCAGCTTTGGCCACTTTGAATCAGATAATCATATGGTATACTATGCTAGGAATGAAAAACAGAATGGTGTGGTGTTCATAGTCAAAAAGTTAATTTCAAGTTCTATCCTGAAATACTATATGGTCAGTGATAGGATAATATTCATACACATACGAGGAAGACCCATTAACACAATTACTATTTAAAGATACACTCCTACATCTGGAGACAGAGAGGAAAAAATTTAGACTTTTTATGAAATCTTGCAGTCTGAAGTTGACAGAACTTGCAATAAAGATGCATTCCTGTTAATGGGTGACTGGAATGCAAAAGTGGGAAACAGTGAAGAAGTGATATTGTTGTTGTTGTTGATTGTTGTTGAACACAACTCATAGCAACCCTATGAACAAAAGGCCTGAAGCCTTTCTATATCTATTGTCATTTCTCAAAGTTTAGGAATTGGATACCACTCTAGCTTCTAAACCTGTCTTAATTTGGGAACTCCACTGTTTGAGGTCAGTTCTCTGGCAACCTACAGCGACATCCTAATGGGGGTAAGCACAACGGAGATACACCACTCTGGAATAGGATCAGAGAGTCAGTTCAGCTCAATTTTATTGGGATCTGCAGTGCACTTATATAAACAGGAAGACAGGACAGGGTGGGCTTACAAACCAGGACGTGCAGATTGGTTAGAAGAACCTCAGCCTTGTGTGGACCACTCACAGCTCAGCAGAGTGGCAGCCTTCGTTCCAAGTGGTGAGCTTTCTCAAGCTGGTACAGCCAAACACAGGGGAGCTTTCTCTACCCTGTATTATAGGCCATTGGGAAGCTTGCACTTATCTGAAGCATAGACGATCTGCCCAACATTCCACAACACTCCACCAAACACTGTCCACCATGGGCAGCTATTATGGCATTTGACTCCCCCATGGCACAAGGTTCAGCATCATAGCAAACCCAGATTACCTCAGTACAGCAAATTGACAGAGGAGTGCTGTACAACTCCTGCTTCCAAACCAGAATCAGTCTGGGAGTTCCAACCAACACTGACCACAATGAGTAGCCATTATCGTGTTTGGCATACCTATGGCACAGTTAGTTGTTCTTTGGGACCCCAATGGCACAAGGTTCAATGTCACAGCAAACCCAAATTACCTCAGCACAACAAATTAACAAAAATGCTGTACTGAAGAAATGATAGTAGTTGGAGAATATGGATTTGGTGACAGAAATGAGGCTCGAAATAGAATGATTGAATTTTATGTTTACAATGATTTATTCATTATAGTACCTTTTTAGAAAAACACAATTGATAACTTTATACATGTATCTCTCCTGATGGGCTGCATAGGACTCAGATTGACTACATCTGTGGAAGAAATCCTTGGAGAAGCTAGATATCAGCAGTCAAAAGTAAGCCAGGGTCGGATTGTGGGTCAGATCATCAATTACTTATATGCAAGTTCAAATTGAAGCTGGAGAAAATGAAAATAATCTTACTGGAATCGAGATATAATCTTGAATATACTCCATCTGAATTTCAAAATGATCTTAGGAATAGGTTTGAGGCATTAAACATCAATTATTGAAGACTGGCTGAGTTGTGGGATGACATAAAGAAAATATCCATGAAGAAAACAAAAGGTTATTACAAAAAACAGAGGGAAAGAAAATAAAGGAATGTCAGAAGAGATTCTAAAAATTACACTGAGGTGTTGAGAAAAAAAAAACAACCAACCCCCCCCAAAAAAAAACCCAGCAAAAAAAAACCATGCCAAAGTAAAAGAGCTGAACAAATATTTCAACGGGGAGGATGGGAGGAAAGTATTATAATGGAATGTACAGAAAGCTGTAATTGGAGAATAAAAAAGGAGGAACTTGTTCTGTGTTTCTCAAGCTGAAAGAAAGAACTGAAAAACAAATTTAAGCCTCAAGTTGAAATATTGAAAGAGGCTATGGGCAATATATTGAATGACCCAGAAAGAGTCAAAGGAAATGGAAGAAATACACAAAATCACTGTGCCAGGAAGAATGGATTAACATGGAAAAAATTTAGGAAGTATCATATAAACAGGAGCCAATGGTAATGAAGGAGGAAGAGGAAGGTACACTGAAGGCGTTTGCATAAAATAAAGCTTCAGGAATTGATCGGATTCCAACTGATTTTTTTTAATTAACAGATGCAGCCTTGGATGCACTCACCCATCTATGCCAGGAAATTTGGAGAACAGCTGTCTGGCCAATAGATTGGAAGAAGTCCCTATTTGTTCCCATTCCCAAGAAAGGTGATGCAACTCAATAGGGAAATTATTGAACAATATCATTAATAATACCTGCAAATAAAATACTGCTTAATATCATTAAAAAAATAGCTAGAACAGATGATAGATAGGAAATGGCCAGAAGTTCAAGAAGGATTTAGAAGAGGCTGTGAAACCAGGTACATCATTGTTGAGGTCAGATGATCCTGGATGAAAGTAAAGAAACCAGAAAATGTCTGTTTGTGCTGTACTGACTATGCAATGGTTATGACTGTGTGGATCATAACAAATTGTGGTTGATGTTGAGAAGAATAGGAGTTAATTAATTGTGCTAATGTGAAACCTATACCTGGACCAGTAAGCTATTGTGTAAACAGATCAGGGGAACATTGAAAGGCTGATAATTAAGAAGGGAGTGTGTCAGGGTTGTATTCTCTCTACATACCTATTTAATATTTATGTTGAGCAAATTATTCAAGGACCTGGAATTAAGAGGTAGCATCAGAATTGGAGGGAGACTCATCAATAACCTGCATTATGCAGATTATATAACCTTGCTTGTTAAAAGTGAGGACTACTTGAAGCACTTGTCGCAGAAGATCAAGGAATGAAACCTTCAGTATGGATTGCATCTCAATGTCAAGGAAACAAAGATTCTTACCACTGGGACAATAAATAGGCCACATCATAATGGATGGAGAAGCGATTGAAACTGTCAACAACTTTATCTAGCCTGGATCCACAATTAGCATCCTTAGTACCAGCAATCAGGAAATAAGATGATGCATTGCACTGGCAAATTCTGCACTTAGGGACCTCTGCAAATTATTGAGGAGTAATGATGCAAGTTTGAGAACTAAGGTGCGTCTGATTCAGGCCATAGTCTTTCTGATCACTTATTTTGCATCTGAGAGCTGGATAATGAATAAAAATGACAGAAAAATTGATGCATTTGAGCTGTGGTATTGGAGAAGAACACTGATCATGCCATGAACAGCCAAAAGAACAAACAAATATGTCTCGGAGAGGGTGCAGCAGGAGTGCTCTTTGGAGGCAAGAATGATGAGGGCTCACTTACTTTGGGCTTGTTGCTAAGAGGGTCTATTCCTTGGAGAAAGATGTTATGCTAGGAAAGGTGGAGGGTTGATGAAGGAGAATAAGAACCTCAACCAGGTGGATTGATGCAATGACTGCCACAATGGGCTCTTGTGTTTTGGGAAGTGTGAGGATGGTGCAAAATAGAACAAGGTTCATATCATTTGTTCATAGGGTCACAGTGAGTAGTGCTTAACTCGACAGCAGCTAACAACAACAACAGTGATAAGGAACATCCTTGTCTTAGTATATGAATGGTATTACCAGGTGTGTTAGTGTGATTAATGTTGAAATTTTCACACACACACACACACACACACACACACACACACACTATTTATAATATACGTACATATATAATATATACATACATTTATATAACATTGTTCTAAGCAGTATAGCAGTGGTCTGTTCATTTGCTGTACAGAGGTAACTTGTGGTTGCTGTGATGGTAAACACTGTTACACTAATGTGTCAAATGCGATAATGGTTATTCATGGTAGACAATGTTTGGTGGAGCTTCCTGATTAAAACAAGCTTGGAGGTAGGAGCGGCATCCACTTCTGAAGTGGCTTGCCTCTGGAAACTCTAACGTGGAGTAACGACGAAAGTTATACATGTGTTCAGGTCTTTCATTCATAGGGTTATTATGAGTCATCTACGGCTCAACAGCACTTAACAACACCATAACAACAACAACATATATGATATACACACAGTTGTACGTGTGTATGTGTAAAGAAGAAAGCAGACGAGCAAGAATAAACACTAGCAAAAAATAACAAAAGTAGGTAATTATTTTTGTGACTCAGAATTGTAACATTGTAGATCAGCTCTCAGAATGCAAATCATAAATTTTATAAAAGGACTAATTTAAGGAAATAAAATTAAGCATACCATAAATACATGTAACATTATGAATGAAAAATTCATGAAAAAAATATTTACTGTATTTGTTACGAAGCTCAAGTTGCTTAGTGGCAAGGAGTTGTGCTGCCAATCTGAAGACAGGCTGTTCTAATCTTTTAGCTGCTCCATGAGAGAAAGATGTTCACTTTTCTCCTGTGCAGTTAACTGCTTCTGAAAGCCTACTGTAGGGTCAACTATGAATTGGACATGCCTTGATGGTACACAACAACAAAAATATTTGTTAAGAAGGACAAGAAAATTTTTCTAAAAGGGAAGTTCAAATTGTTTATTTAAAAAAAGCTCATAGATATATGAAAAGATAATCTCATAATAGTTTGAAACAAATATGTGGATTTCATTTTAGCTGGAAAATGAAAACAATAGGAATTATGAGAATTTAAATGATTTTCACTGTTTTTGTTAGGTACCGTCATGTCGAGGACTTCTCATAGCAACCTAATGAACAACAGACCTGAACTCTACCCTATCATGTGCCCTTCTCATCTTCTCTGACACACTTGAGCACATTGTTGCAGTCTCTGTGTAAAATTCATCTCACTGGAGATCTTCCTCCAGAATCAAGTGTTGTTGAGAAGAAACAGGATTTCTTTTGCATTGTGGACAAAGATATAAACTGTTACAGCTCTTAATTATGCCCTTTCCATATTTAGAAGAATGCTCATGAACTTCTAGGTATTTATCTCAGAGAAATTCTTGGAGGTTTAAAAATTCTAGTTTGAAGATTTGTGTTTGTGTGTGCTTTTTGTGTAAGTGGAATGAGTGGAGGGAGAGGTGAGTAAAGGAAATGGAAATGATCTGGTGGGATCTGAAAAGACAGGGTATTGGTGATCACACTACAATGATGATTAAGTTTATAAAACATAATGAAGGGGAATAATTGATGAAACACAATATGAATAAATGCTATGTGAAATGCATTTTATGTGAACTTTGTAAGCAAACCAGTGTAAAGGAAAAATAAAAAAGAATTATCTTTAGATTTTTAATTTTATTTCTGCTACTTGCTATAATTGTTCATTGTTTTGGCCCATATACAACTGTCTACGGCATCTAACTACAACAATAACAACACACCTCTAATATTAGAATGCAAACTCCTTGAAGGCAGAGGCAGGGCTTTATTTACATTAACAACTAATACATAATATTGTGCAGCCGTTCAATAATTTTTTTTTCTGTGTGACCTTTGGAGGGCCAGCTTTAAGTCAGTTCTGACTTGAAGGTACACAGCAACAATATGTAACATTATTTTATTTAATCCTAATAATAACACTGAAACAGATTATAATGTTATCCCTAAAATTTAAAAATTAATCATAGAAAGGTTTAATAAATTCCTTGAGCTTTTATATCTAGTACTTAAACATTCTAACATATAAACTATTATTCATCATTATGAAGAACTCATGATTATCACCCAGAATAGAGAAATAATAAATTATTGGCTAGCAGAAGAGATTATAATTTTACTATGATGAATAAGAAGAAATGGCTCATTAATTTTCTAAAACGAGTAATTTTCCCAGTTAATCTAATCATGTTTAGTGCTGGGACCAGCAGTAAAATTCTTATGTACATTTTAATACTAGTTCTAGATGGCAAGTTCCTCACCTTCTGAAGCAATGAGCTGCTGTCAGGACCCAGGTGTTACTGATCAGGACGCCTCCACAGTGGTGACCATTATTGGCTTGTAGACTGACTTGCCATGGCCAATCTCCTTCTTCAGCCTTAGTGCCTCCTATGATTCTCTCCTCAGACAACGTGATTAGATCTGAACGGGCTCCACATTCTAATAAAAAAAGATTATTAACATACTGGGAAGATTATGACTGCTTTGCATTTGAGCGACGCTATCAAAATTTCCATTTCATGCCTTTTGTGCTTAGTCCCTCAACCTTTCCTTCTTACAAACTCCCTACTCCTTCAAATACACATATATTCTACCACAGGACATGGGAGACTTACCAAAAGGAAGTGGGATCTTTCTCATACGGAGAATGTGGAGAATAAAACCAAATTGTATTTTAATCTCTGGCACTAAAGTCTGGGTAACACCAAAGAGCTTGTTAGGAAAACTGAGTCTCAGGATTCAAACTAGTGAATGAATGAGAAGTTGCATTTTGATGAAATGCTTTGTTTTTGTGATTTGTATGGGCATTGAAGTTTGAGGAACGCGGCTCTTGTACTAATAGAACTCTGGTGGCCTAATCCTTAGAAAGTTGCACTGCTAACTCAAAGGCCATGCCTTTTTAGCAGTTTGAATCCACCTATTTCTCCGCAGGAGAAAGGTGGGCAATCATAACACCCACCCACCCCCCGCTGCAAAAAAAAACCAAAAAAACAAAAAACCACAAAAAACCCCAAACACTAGAGGGTCAAATTTGAGTCTGTTTTCACTTGATTGAAATGAATTTGAGTTTGAGCTCTGGTCCAAAGGACATTTTTGTAGTATTTCATGGAGGTTCTAGGCCATTTCCAGAATGACATATGTTACATGGCATCCACTTAAAGGGTTTGATTTTCAGAAAGTGTTAAACATGAGTAACAGTTTCAGGTGTATAGATGAAATTTACTAGTTTTATTTAATAGTCTTAGGAAGGCCATAAGAACTACATTGTCTAAGCTGCTTTTGTGGCTGATTTAAAAACTAACAACCCTCCTCTCCCACAGTATTTTCCATTATTTAGTCTGTCAATAGGAAATTAGAAGTAAAACGCCATCACCAATTTCTCAAATTTCTATTGCTGAGATACTCTAGACTAGTAACCCTCCTTATATAGAACAGCTACGTAAAGACACTTTTCTATTAAGATTATATATGGAGCATAGTTTCCTCTGCTTTATTCCTCAGATAATGTCTTTATTAGATTTCTAAATACTTCTTTTAAAAAGAAATGTGACATAAGTATGTAAAGCTGGAAGACTTCTATATAAATAAAATTATGTAAAATTATTTGAATTTAAAATAAGTCAGATGTTCATGTATAATAAACTGAACTCTAACTCTGTACCATTGGCCAGAGAAGCAAACTGATCTTTTAGGGACTATATTTCTACTATTTTGTCCGTAGAGTAAATAGGAAGATATTTATAAGTAAGAACTTCTCCTTAAGATCATGGATCAAAACTGACAGAACTATATGTGTATGTGAATTATATATATTTTTATTATATGTATGTATTTTCATTACACCTTATAATTAACCTGAATTCTTAACTATGCAAACTATTCTGGTTGTTAGAAGATGCCACAAAATTGGTGTCACCAAACATAATATACAAGTCTACAGAAATACTACCACAGAACCAGGGCAGGGCATGTTTCCTAAAGCTGCCAAAAAATTTTCATGAGGCCAAACTTAAGTACAGAACGTTTGGTAGGTCATTGTTACTTCCTCTCCCTTCTAAAAGGAGAGTAAAACCTAGTCCACTTCAATTAGCAGGATTTTCAAAACCCATCCATTTTGTAAAGATAACTACATATGTAAATACAAAAGCCAGTATTTTTGATTTGTCATTTCTCTTTATCCTGCATTATTTAAAAACCATGTGCTTAAAATAGTATTAAGTCTAAATTAGTGGGTATACAATATTTAACGATAGACTCAGAAATAATAATAATAATAATAATAATACTAGAAAGAAGAGAGGGGAATATATCTAATAGCACAACATTTATGTAGTCTTGAAAGAACATAGGTAGTTATAAAAAAATTGTTATAAGCTTAAAATGTTAATTGTAATCACCTATATAACCTTTAAGAAAGGAACTAAGGGATATATGGAAAAAGAGGAAGAGAGAGAGAGAGAAAAAGAGAAGGGGAGAGAGAGAGTGGGGAAAGAGAGGAGGGGAGGGAGAGAGGTGGGGGAGAGAGAGAGAGAGAGAGAATCAATATGGGACAGCACAAGAGAGAAAGACCCCAGATTAGGTGAATTGACAGAGTAACTGGGGTATTGGGGGTAGGTGTACTGGAGTCAGGTAAACTGGCTCAGGATAGGGCAGGCTTCAGAGCTATTACACGTGAGTTGCAGGTGACTTGATGATACGTAATAACAAAATATAAAAATAATAAGACAGTAGTGGAGATTGAGGAATAAACACCATAAAAGATATGTAGGCAAAATCAATAGCTAAATGACAGATGTAAGTACTTTCTTAAATTTCCAAGAAGCACAGAAGGATAGTGTACGTTGATAAAAGTTTAAATCTATCAAAAAAATATAACTATTGTAAACATATATGCACTTAAAAACATCAGCCCCAAAATATGATGCTAACATTGACAGAATTGAAAGAAGATATTGTCCTCAATATCCAATTTGAATAAACCAGAAAGAAGATAAATAAGGAAATAAAACATTTTAAAAGTGCTCTAAACCAATTAGATCTAACACACATGCAGAACATTAAGCAATTGTAGAATATACATTTTTCTCAAGTCTGCACAGAATATTCTAGAGTAATCGAATGGTAAGAAAAATTAAATCTTAATAAATTTGAAAAGATTGAAATAACAAGTTTTCTAATCACAATAGAATGACATTAGAAATCAACAACAGAAGGGAAATTAGAAAACAAATAAAGGAAATAAATAACATATTCTTGAGAACAACTCACTTGAATTTTTAATAATTAAGAAATAAATTTAACTTAATTAGGAAGGTTTTATGCCTGGAGCATTATGCTATTTTAAGAATAAAAGAAATATCTATACAGGATTAAAGTAACAGTTGTTGATTGTACTCAAGTTGAGCACAAATTATAGCAACTATATGAACAAAAGACCTGAAGACTTTTTATAAAAGACTATCGTTGTTTCTCAGTGTTCATAGTTTCCACAGGCATGTTGTTTGGAAGTGGAATGCTCTTCTGCTTCCAAGGTGACAGTAGCAAATGGAAAGTGCAGATAGAAATGATAGTGGGAATGATAGCATAACTTCAAATATGTAATCAATGTAATTTAAATATACCTATAAAAATAACTGAGCTGGAGGGTTATTCCCCCCCCAAATTTGTTTTCTTCAGTATTCTTAACAACAACAACAGCAACAAAATAACACTTTGGAAGAGGGCATGTATAACTGAATGAGGGAAGGGGTCTAAACAAGTATGAAGGGTTGTTAAGGGTGAGAGAATAAAGAGAGGAAGCAAAGCAGAGATTAACGGATTGATGGGTAAGATGAAAGGAAGAGAAGGTGCAGTGAAGATTTGAAAAGATGTAAATAGTAACACTATATTATTATATTTAATGTCATAAAACCAAATGTGTAAGAGTAATTGAAAGAAAATAAACAAAAATTATGATCTACTGTGCACCCAAAAGGAGTATACTACCTTGGTAATGGATATTATAAGCTTGCATATTTCACTCTTAATTTTTTATAAACTAGCAAAATAATTTAAAAACTTACCGCTAGTGAAAAGTACCACTGCATCTTGATCAGTAATTGCTAGTATTAAAAATAAGAGTTAGAATTAAATCAGTATAAGGATTGAATGCCATTTCACATAGATTTCTCAAAATATAGTACTCAAGTGGCCAGAATGAGAATTAGAGGAAAGGTTTGTCAGCATATACATTTCCTGACATTCTGAAAGAATCTGTGATTCATATGCCTCTAAAACCCCTCCCCCTCAATTTATTTTTTAGCAAAGAAAATTTATTATATAAATACTAAATCAATATTTTAAATTTAGAGTATTTTACATTATTTATTATTATTTGATCATGGGTTGCATCTCTATTATTAACACATTATTTTAATAAAGTTTAATTTCAAGGAAAGAAAAGTTAAACTCTGATTAAATGAAAATGTTAATTTTAATTGATAAAATTGAAAAAGACATTGAAAAAAGTGCTGTATAAAAATAGTACTTACATGTAACCTCAGTTGAAGGATTTATTTCCAGATTTCCAGAGTTATTCAGCATCTGATGTAAAATAGATTCAATTTTCTTTTTCATTGAATCTCCGTTGTTATTTCTAGTGAATTTAAATTTCATGACAATATCTGCTCTCACACCATTACCATCTCGCCTGTGAACCACAGACATATTTTTTAAAAAAAATAGAGCCAAAGAGGAGGAAATGAAAGATTTCTACCAACTTTTACAGTCAAGAGATCAATTGAACATGCAATTAAGATGCATTGACAATAATAGGCGACTAGAATTCAAAAGTTGGGAACAAGAAAAAAGGATCAGTAGCTGGAAAACATGGACTTGGTGACAGAAATTAAGCTGGATGTGCTTACTGTGCCAAGAAATCTGGAGGATAGCAATCTGGCCAACTGACTGGAAGAGACCGATTTTTGTTCCCATTCCAAAAAAAGGTGACCCCATAGAGTGTGGAAATTATCTGACAATATCATTAGCATCACATGCAAGCAAGATTCTGCTGAAAATTATCCAAAAACGGCTGGAGCAACACGTCAACAGAGAACTGCCAGATGTGAGGCTGGATGTGTGATACTAGGGATAGTATAGCTAATGTTATATGGATCTTGGCAGAAAGTAGAGAATACCAGAGAAATGTCAATTTGTGCTTCATTGACTATGCAAAGGCTTTTGACTGTGTGGATCACAAGAAGCTATGGCTGACTCTGAGAAGAATGGGAATCCCAGAACATTTTATTTTGCTTATGCAAAACCTATACTTGGACCAAGAGGCAGTCGTCAGAACAGAGCAAGGAGACACTGCATGGTTTTAAATTGGGAAAGGGTGTCTGACAGGGATTTCTTTTGTCTCCATACCTTTTCAATCTGTATGCAGAACAGATCATCTGAGACACTGGGCTGTATGAGGAGGAATGTGGCATCAGGATTGGTGGAAGGGTCATCAACAAGCTGCGTTATGCAGATGACACAACCCTACTTGCTGAAACTGAGAAGAACCTGAAGCGCTTGCTGCAGAAGGTCAAGGACTGCAGCTTTCAATATGGGTTGAAGCTCAACATCAAGAAAACAAAGATTCTCACCCCCGGGCCAATTGGAAGCATCAGTATGGATGGTGAAGAGATTGAGATAGTTAACAGTTTTAGTTTGCTTGGCTTCACAGTCAACACTCTTGTTACCAACAGCCAGGAAATCAAGAGACAAATTTCATTGGGAAAGTCAGCTGTCAGGGACCTCTCCAGAGTACTGAAGAGCAACGATGTCAGGCTGAAGACTAAAGTGCACCTGATCTGGGCTATAATCTTCACAATTACATGTTATGCATTAGACAGTTGGACAGTGAGTAGGGATGATAGAGAATTGATGTCTTTGAGCTGTGGTGCTGGAGAAGAGTGTTGAATTTACCATGGATTGCTAGGAGAACAAACAGGTTGGTGTGGAGAGGGTGAAGCCAGGCTGCTTTTTGGAGTCAAGGATTCTGAAACTTCATCTGACATACTTTGGACATATTTCATGGAGAGACCAGTCCTTGGAAATGGACATCTTGTTTGGGAGAGTTGAGGGATGGTGCAGGAGATGAAGACCCTCAATGAGATGAATTGATTCTGTGATTGGGGTAATGGGAGTGAATGTGTCGGAGACGGTGAGGTTGGCACAGGATAAAGCAGGGTTCAGGGCTCTTGTACTTGGGGTTGCTATGAGTTGCAAGCTACTCAACTGCACCTAACAATAACAGTAATAGCACATGAGGGTACAAGGGGGAAATATGGGAGCAGAGGGTTAAGAAGGTTGGCAGAGGATGGGAGGGCGTTAATCATAGGATCGCACAATTTGATGGGTACACGGAGGTGGGGCAGGGAGAAGTGAGAAAGATCTGGTGTGGAAAATAGTGTAGACAAAGTTTGTAAATAAATCAGCATAAAAAATTTTTGTTGTTTTTGTTGTTATGTGCCATAGAGTCATCTGTGACTCATAGTGACACTATGTACAACAGCCCTAAACCCTGCTCTATCTTTTGCCAGTCTTATTGTCTCTGACATGCCCATCCCTATTACCCCAGTGACTGAATCAATCCATCTCATTGAAGGACTTCCCCTCCTGCACTGTCCCTCCACCCTCCCAAGCATGAAGTCCCTCTCCAAGGACTGATCCCGCCTTGCAATCTGTCCAAAGTATGTCAGAGATGGAGCTTCAGAATTCTTGCCTCCAAGGACCAACCTGGCTTTACTTTCTCCAGGACAAACTTGTTTGTTCTCTTAGCAATCCATGTGATATTCAGTACCCTTTTCCAACACCAAAGCTCAAAGGCATTAACTCTCCGTCTCTCCTCCCTAGTCATTGTCCAGCTCTCTGATGCATAACAAGTAATTTCAACGACCATGGCCTGCATCAAGAGCACCTTAGTCTCCATACTGACATCATTGCTCCTCAGTAAGTTGGAGAGGTCTCTGACAGCAGCCTTTCCCAATGCAATTAATCTTTTAATTTCCTGGCTGCTGGTACAAAGAGTGTTGACTGTAGAGCCAAGCAAACTGAAGCTAAATTAAAAATTTTTAAAAACCTACACACCCAACACCACCACAAAACAAGGCCTCATGAATTGATGGCATAACAATTGACATATGTCAAAAAAACAGGTGCAGCCCTGGATGTGCTTACCAGGCTGTGCCAAGAAATCGGGAGAACTACTCCCTAGCCAATATGGAAGAGATCCATATTTATTTCTGTCCCAAATAATGATCCAACAGAGTGCGAAAATTACTGAAAAAATATCATTAATATCACAAGCAAGTAAAATCCTGCTGAAGATTATCCAAAAACAACTGAAACACTCCTTTGACAGAGAAATTCTAGAGTTTCAAGCTGTGTTTAGAAGAGACTGTGGCACTAGGGACACCATAGCCAATGTCAGACAGATCTGGCGGAAAGTAGAGTACCAGAGGAATGCTTATCTGGGTTTTGTTTTTTTTTTGACTATGCAAAGCCATTCGACTGTGTGGACCATAACAAATTGCGGCTGACCTTAAGGAGAATAAGAATCACAGAACACTTAATTGTACTCATGCAAAACCTATTCTCAGACAAGGAAATACTTGATGCCTTTAAGTTTTGATGCTGGAGAAGAGTATTGAATGTACCGTGGATGACGAAAAAAAAAATAGGTCTGTCCTAGAGTGAATGAAATCAAGTTGTACTCTGGAGGCAAAGATCTCGAAGCTCCATCTCACACACTTTCAGTATATTGGCAGGAGGGATCAGTTTGTGAAGAAGGAAAGCATGCTTGGAAAGATGGAGTAATTTTAAAGGGGAGGAAGACACCGGATGAGATGGATTGACATAGTAACTGGGATAAAGGGGTTAGATGTGTTGAAGAAAATGAGCCTGGCTCAGGATAGAACAGGCTTCAGATCTTTTGGTCATAGAGTTGCTATGAGTTGTTTAAAACAGCACCTAATAACAACAAAGTGAGGGTTATTCTAAGTTTCTCATCTTTTGGTTGGCTATTGTAAAATTATTTTTATTGCTTTTCTAGTTTCCTTTCCAAGCTTTTTGTTGTTGTTGTTACTGAGAAGAAAAACAACTGATATTTGTATATTGATCTTATATCCCGTTACTCTACTAAATTGGTCTACTAGTTATGACAGGTTGTTTGTTTGGTTTTTTTTTGTTATTTGTGATTTTCTGTGTACACTATCATATCATCTGCATATAGTAACAATTTTATCATTCTTTGGCAATATGGATATTTTTATTTTCTTTATTAATCTAGGTTAATTTACAATATAACATTGAATACATAGGGTTTTCAGAGGCCTGCCATTCCAGAAGTGGAGGGCCAATCCTTCTTCCTAGTCTGTGTTTCATTGATTGATTATGCAAAGGCATTTGACTGCATGGATCATAACAAACTGTGGCTGACTCTGAGAAGAATGGGAATCCCAGAACATTTAATCATGCTAATGCGACTGGAACAGCACATTAACAGAGAACTACCAGAAGTCCAGGCTGGTTTCAGAAGGGGTCGTGGTACTAGAGATATTGTAGCTGATGTTAGATGGATCTTGGC